AGGCTTTCTTCTTTACCTGCAGGAGAACCTTCAGCCCCTCTCGGGGCCATGGAAGGAGACCAAGCAGGAGCCAAGTCACACTAGTTCTCCGTCTGCTCTGTTCCTTGTTCCTGGGCAGAGAGGGTTAAGCCACAAGCCCCTCCCAGCGTTCCTTATCCCCAAAAAGTTTGCCTCCAGGATTTAAAGGACTAGGAAGCAGTGGTGGAAGAGCTGAGGCCCCTCGGCTGGCTCTGGGGCAGGAGGCCAGGACTGGGTGTGCTCTACACTGCAGAGGGCTGGGGGTGGATGCGCTGGGCCCTCCCCCTGCCCAGCTTGGAATTTCCTGACACTGGGGAAGTCTGGCTGTTTAGCAGTAATTTAGAGTAATTTCTTCCAGATTGCAGCTGGTGGGGGAGTGCCTGTGTGCAGATTGGGAGAGGGAGAGAAAGAGACAGAGAGAGAGAGAGAGAGAGTCACTAAGACCAGCAGAAGAATGAAGGGGTCTGTAGAGGGACAGTCTGAGCCCTGCTGTGGGGCACCCCCTAGACAACTGTCCCTGACTGAAGCCACCCTCCATAGAAAGACCATTCCATCACTGTGAGCATCTGTTTATGGCGAAGAGAGTTGGGAGAGCAGAGGTTCCTGGGAGGAAGCAGGCTCAGAGGGAAGCAGGGAGGCCCATGTGAGAGGCTGGGCCACTGGAGGGGGAAGTGGAGGCCCAGGTGGAGAACAGGGTGGGAGACTGCCCCAGTGGAGAGGTAGGCTGGGCTGAAGTTGGGGGAAAGGAGAGGAGCTGATTTTAGAGATGAGAGGGAAGATGCTCTGTCCCAGACCTCTGCCCTTCCTGCATTTCCATGCAGGACCAGCCTCTTCATGTGTGAGGTCTAGTACAAAGGACCAGATGGGGCCCATGATCAAAATGATCAGGAAGAATTTCCAATGGGTCAGCATCGATTCCAGCCCCAGACCCTTCTGAGCAGGGGACCCTGGGTGACCTCACGCATGTCCGTGAGGCTGGCCCTTGAGCGGTGGGGAGGGTTAGGAAAGAGACAGGGAGGCCAGAGACCTGGTGACACACAGGGACTCCCACAAGGTGGGTTTCAGTTTGCCCTGAGAGGCCAGGCTGAAGGCAGCTCGGAGCTGAGCCCAGGTCCAGGCAGGGTTAGGTGCAGGCATTAGCCCCCTGTGGACCTGAGTGGGGATGGACTGGAACAGGCCCGGGCTCCATACCCTGAGCAAAGTCTTAGGGACAGAGGTGGTCACCAAAAACCCAGTCATGGAGACAAAAACATGGACCTAAATCAGCGATTTTTATTAATGTCAAATTCATATGACACAAAATTCACCAGCTCAGTGGTGAACTACAGTGGCATTTGGTACTTTCACATCCTTGAACAGCCTCCATCTCTGTCTAGATTCAAAACATTCCCTCACGCCAAGGAAACCCTGCTGAGCAGCCACTCCCCCTCCCCTGAGCTCCGGAGGGAACCGGTGGTCAGGTTCTGACTGTGTGGGCCACCTGTTCTGGGGAGCCTGTAAGGACCTGGTCAGTGGAAGCATGCCTTGGGCAGCCTCAGGTGTCTGGGGTTGGCTGAGTGCTCTTGAGCATCCCCAGCACTGCCCTGCTGCCTGCGGCCTGCTGTTCAGGTACACTAAGCCGCGGGGAAGCTCTGCTCTGCTCCTGAGCCCTCTCAACCAGGAGTCCCACCAAAATCTCTCAAGGGTCACCCTGTAACTTAGAGTCAATGAATTGTGGGTGTTGACCACATCCACAGGCACCTGTCCATGGCCACACTGGTGACTGGAGGGTCACCAAGTGGACCATGGAACCAACCATCACCCCAGGATGATATCCCTAATGTCAGGTCCGTAACCCAGATCCCACCTGCGAATGGGATGTGACGTGGGACTAATGCAAGGGCACCTTTGGGGGAAGTGTCCCGCCTTCTGCAGTGACCGTCAGAAGTTGTCCCGATGTACGTGGGTACTTCATGGACCTCACAAGGTCCCAGGCTCAGAAGGGCCCTGTGCTGGATTTAATGCTCACCCACTTGACATTCTTTCTGATCCTTTCAACACGGACCCCCACCTTGTCCTTGGCACTGGACCCCACAGGTTAATTAGCTGGTCCTGCTTCGAAATGCAGGAGGGCGAGGCTCGGGCCAGAGCAGGGGAGAAGAGCAACCCTGGAGAGATAAGAAGAGGAAAGGGACCTTGGACAAGTCCTGGCAGCAGCCAGAGAAGGAGGAGAACTGTGTCTGGGGAGGAATCGGCATCTCCAATGCAGGCCAAGTACAGCAAATCTTGGGGTTCGGTGGAGAGATAAGGAAGTGCTGAGGAGAGTGGGCAGACGCAGGAGCCCCCTGAGAGGGGAGGCGGGAACCCTCAGGGAGGAGGCACTCAAAGGCAGGTCTTTGTTTCTTTGGTTGGACTGGATACATTTGCTGTTATTTTGTTTCCTTTTTTTAAAAAATGTAACTTTTCATGACACAAAGGATAGGGGAGCACATCCTCTCCTGGGAGAGGTTGGGGCAGCGAGGGGAGAGACAGAAATTTTAAGTAGGCTTCCGTGAGCTCCTCCAAACCAGTCCCCAGCTCAGCGTCCCCTAAGCTTGGTCTGGGGTGCACATCTCCCCACTGGAAAAATGTGCTTTACCATTTACAAATGCAAAAACCAGGGCTGTTTGGGGCTGGGCTGATCCACTCCTGTGTTACAGGGCCATCCTGGGCACGGCGGCGGGGTGCTGAGGAGCATTGCTGGGCTCTGTCTAGGGACCCCGGCAGCTCTCTCCCCACACACCTCCCACACTCCCAGTTTGAACAACCCAAGATGTTTCCTGAGTGTCTCAGTGCACTTGGGTGCTAAGACAAAAGCCCACAGAGGAGGCGGGCTTTTGTTCATGTTACTATAAGCAATGGCATTATATTAATATAGACATTACACGATCATAAACAATGCCATTGTCTGTCACAGTTAGGAAGTCCAAGGTCCAACCCCAGCAGATGGGGGTCTGGCAGAGGGCCTGTTCCTGACACCACCTCACCCTCTGGCTGTGTCCTCATGCAGTGGAAGAGGTGAGGGTGCCCCTGGGGTCTCTTATGAAAGTACAGACTCCATTCAGGAGGGGAGCCTTCATGACAGCATAGGGATCCCACGTAAGAGAACTTCAGCATAGGGATCCCGGGACACACGTTCAGACCACAGGCAGTGCCCCGTACCCCCTAGGGTGTGAAGACCCCTTGGCTGAGGAGCTCCCATGTAGATTGCATCGGGAAACATTCAGTGCACTTTGAATACACAAACGGGATCCCACAGGGTACCTCTGGGTCACCCCATTTTCCCATTCATTTTTGGAATCATTCATCCTCAGTGCAGACTTACAGAGAGAAGCTTGCTTCAGTGTCACAAAAGTACGTAACAAAACAGCCGTAGCCGGTGATGCTTATTTATAGCTCATTAAAACCTTCCACAGAGGTGGGGAAGGGGTGGGAGCTGACGTCATCGTCCTCATTTTGCATCTGGGGAAACTGAGACACAGAGGGCTTTGTTTGCTGCTAATGCAACTAATTTGTGTGGGTGGGACTGGCAGGCCAGCCGGCTGCCCCTACAGGGGAGACCCACGTGAGAGGGTGGTCGATGCCGAGAGGCGCCGGGGAGCAAGGAAGAACTGGATCCTGTCCCACAGAACTTTCTAGATTGTCATGTCACTGGCCCTGTCCAAACTCGGTAGCCAAGCGCCCTTCAGGTGTGGCTAGTGGGGCTGAGGAACTGAATTTTTAATTTAAATTTCATCTTTATCCAGTCCTGGGAATGGCACCCAGGGTCTCTCTCCTGTGTGCCAGGGAAGTGCTCAGCCACGGAGCTGTACCCCAGCCCTTTTTACTCTGCACTTTTGACACAGGTTCTCACTAACTTGTCCAGGCTGGCTTTGAACTTGCCTCAGCCTCCCGAGTGGCTGAGATGACCAGTGGACATGCCTGGCAATTCAATTTAATTTTAATTGATTCAAATTGCAGTGGTCACTGGTGTCCAGTGGCACCAGCCTTGGCCAGCCCAGGTGTGGAGAACTTGAGGAGGGTTTGGCCAGGGCCAGGGGAGGCCTCTCTAGAAGTGGGCAGGAGCGAGGACAGGAGCCCCAGAGGGCAGGTTTCTGGCCAGCGAACTTGGGGGCAGCTGGTGGGGAGGAAGGGGAAGTTGGGGTCCCCCAGGAGCACTGTGGGGTGTATCTGATAGGCATGGCTTACTAAATCTCCTGGATATGGTGAGGACCGGAGTCCTCCAAGCTGGGCCTTTCCCAAGGCCGCAGTGGCCGCCAGCGCACTTCCACAGCATCTCAGGGGCAGGTGTGCAGGAGGCCGAGCCACCCAGGGGGAGGGCAGGATTTCTAGCAACCAAAAGGACTTTGCAAGATCCCTACCCAGGTGCAGAGAGGAGAGGGGAGGAGGGAGCGAGAGAGGGGACAAAGTTCACCTTCGTGGGAGGGGCCTAGGGAGTGGGCCTCCCAGGCGTCTGCCAAGAGTGTGGGCTCAGTCCTTGCCACTGTGACAAGTCCGGGGGCCACCCCACCATGCCTGGAAGCTTGGACCAGCTCTGGCTGGCTTCCCTGCAGCCCAGCCCCACCAGAGAGAGTCCTTGGAGCACTGGGCAGTGTCCAGGTAGAGGATATCTTGCAGCAGGCTTTGAGTTCCAGCTCCACCCATTCTGGGAGGTGTGACCCCAGCAGGTGGCTTTTCATCTTAATCTCTGTCTCCTAGTTTGTGAACTAGGGGACGCGCTAGCCCCCAATTCTGAAGAATTCTAGCAAGGTTTAAATGAGCTGCGGCACCAGGACAGGAGACCTGCGCCACCAGGGGCTGCCCCCGCTGGGTCCCCACTCCTCCCCTCCACACGCCTCTCTCTGGAAACCTCGCCCACGTCCCAGGTGCTATAAGTGGACCTCCTGCCTCAGAGCTAAGCCCCACCCGGGTAGGGGACCCCGGACCCCAGCAGGCGGGATTCTAGGATTAGCTCTGCCACCAGGGAGAGACAGCGTCTCCTGTTTGGAGAAGGTTTGGTGAGCAAGGGAGCCCTCCATTCCTCACTTAGACAGAAAATAGACCTTTTTAAATTCTGGGGTAAGCCCACAACATTAAACTTATCACTAGGACCATTTCCACGGTGCAGTGTCGTTCGGTGTGTTCACATTATTGTGCCACCGATCTCTAGAGTGTTGTCATCTTGTCAACCAAAACTCCACGCCTGCAGGACACTAAGCCCCCTCCTCTGGCATGTGACGGGGATCCTGCGCTACTTGC